ACAGGAGGACAGGGAGAGGGCAGGGAGAGGAGGACAGGCAGAGGAGGACAGGGACAGGAGGACAGGCAGAGGAGGACAGGGAGAGGAGGACAGGGACAGGAGGACAGGGAGAGGACAGGGACAGGAGGACAGGGACAGGAGGACAGGCAGAGGAGGACAGGGACAGGAGGACAGGGACAGGAGGACAGGGACAGGAGGACAGGGACAGGAGGACAGGCAGAGGAGGACAGGGACAGGAGGACAGGGACAGGAGGACAGGGACAGGAGGACAGGCAGAGGACAGGGACAGGGACAGGAGGACAGGGACAGGAGGACAGGGACAGGAGGACAGGGACAGGAGGACAGGGACAGGAGGACAGGGACAGGAGGACAGGGACAGGAGGACAGGGACAGGACAGGGACAGGAGGACAGGGACAGGAGGACAGGGACAGGAGGACAGGCAGAGGAGGACAGGGACAGGAGGACAGGCAGAGGAGGACAGGCAGAGGAGGACAGGCAGAGGAGGACAGGCAGAGGACAGGGACAGGAGGACAGGGACAGGAGGACAGGGACAGGAGGACAGGGACAGGAGGACAGGCAGAGGAGGACAGGCAGAGGAGGACAGGGACAGGAGGACAGGCAGAGGAGGACAGGCAGAGGAGGACAGGGACAGGAGGACAGGCAGAGGAGGACAGGGACAGGAGGACAGGGACAGGAGGACAGGGACAGGAGGACAGGGACAGGAGGGCAGGGACAGGAGGACAGGGACAGGAGGACAGGGACAGGAGGACAGGGAGAGGGCAGGGAGAGACCCTTCTGCTTTTCTCCCCTCACTTCACCTGTTATATATTGAACCTGAAACAGTATCTTGAGGTTATCTTGAGATGATTTCGGGGCTTAGCGTCCCCGCGGCCCGGTCCTAGACCAGGCCTCTTTTGTTACACACCTCCAGGAAGCAGCCCGTAACAGCTGTCTAACACCCAGGTACCTATTTACTACTAGGTTAACAGGAACATCAGGGTGAAAGAAACTCTGCCCATTTGTTTCGGCCTCCACCGGGGATCGAAGCCGGAACCTCAGGACCACGAATCCCGAGCGCTGTCCACTCAGCTGTACAAGAAAAACCTCAATATAACCCGTATGATTTTGTGTTTCCTCCATGTATCTACCTTCTCTCTAATTCCCTCCTTCCTTACCTCTTTCCCTTGCTCTCCCTCATTGTTGCCCTCGCCTCTACGGCCTCGTTAAACTGTCTCCTCACTCTGTCTCAACCACCCTCTTATCTTGAGAACTTATCTCATCCCTTGTGACCTTGTTGGTAAAGACCTCTTACAGTGACCCCTAATCACCCACAAGCCTCCTTGACCTCTCTTGATCCCACTCTTGCAACAGGTCAAGGGTCATACAGTGGAGCTTACGGTCAGAAAGGTCATGCTTGGAGAGTTAATTACCACAAGCTAGAACAGAGAGAGAGAGAGAGAGAGAGAGAGAGAGAGAGAGAGAGAGAGAGAGAGAGAGAGAGAGAGAGAGAGAGAGAGAGAGAGAGAGTGTGTAGCGCCCAAGAAGCACAATACTGCCGCCAGTGTACCACAGGGTGGTGTTCTTGGTCCCTGGCTGTGGAATGTTAACTTCAGTGCCCCTCACCGCCCCTCACTCTTGAAGCCACAGTGCTGAAGACAACACTATCCTTCACAAATACTAGTGAGGAAATGCTGACTACCACAAGGGTCATGCATTACCCCTTGCAGCCACTTCGTCCCAGGGAAGACTGTAGCGAGTAGATTATCCCAATAATATACTCGCTCCAAATGCTTTGTTAATATTCCTGTCAACCTTTGGAGATGAATGAGGTGAGGCGTTGCCCGGGCATATAAGCAGCAATAGCAAACATTAACCAGAGTCAACTTTCAAGTGTGGTCTAGAGCAGACACTTGCGAGATACTGTACCAACGCTCAGTGCGCTCAACTCACACCAACGTATCACCTGTGTACTTCTGTATATTCGACCAAATATATATATAGTATCTTAGTGTCTGTGTTTATTTGTCACCATACTTTACGTAACAATAGAACCGTTACATTGGTGACCCAGTGAGTGAAAAAGAACACCTAGTCACAAACTAGATCTTCGTCATGGATTTATCTACCAGGTTTCCAGCATACAACGCAGATGATTCAGAATTTTGGTTCATGCAGATGGAGGCTATTTTCGACCTTCACGAAGTTTCGACTATACCCAGCCACGATGGACTACAACATGGACTCTCACTGGACCTCTAGTGCTACTGTTTGCTGTGATGGAACACTGCCAACACCCTCGCCACAGCTATGATTTTCATCGCGTCCATCTCTGCATTTTCATCTACTACGGCTTGCTGCTCCACGATCGTTACTCACTCATCTGACAGCCTCATCAATGATTACATCATGTTGGATCTACAGCTTGTCCTGCCGACTCTCCGTCGCTGCCAGGGCACTGCTTGTCCTACGCCCACGACAGCTGCTCTGTCATCAGATTCATCTACACGTTCACTACATTTTGATACTCTGCCGACTCAAGCACTTTGCGCAGTACAGGACTTACAGCTTGCGTTTCCGAGTCTTCGTCGCCTCCAGGACAATTCAGCTCTAGCAGTGATTACCTCGTTGTCCTAACTACGTGCCTACATTACCTCCTAATGTCCTGGTGCCCGAGCCCATCCGCCCCGGATCTAAATGCTCCACCAGCGACCCAAGGACGCAACAATTATGCACATTCTTCTCTCCTGCTACACCGAGCTTGTCCACACACTGCCTACATCTTTTGGTACCAGACTACAATTTCCACAGTCAACAATGTAGTACTCGGCGTGTACAGTCCTAATCAACCCAAGACGCTACAGCTTCGACACAGAGCAGACAGCAGACTACGACCGCATCGAGCCGCCACGCTCTCGCTCCCCGAGTTTAGACACTCACAAATCTCAATCGAGCCGCCACGCTCTCCCACATAGAGCTCCACGACTCCGGCCTCACTCAGCTCCAGGCTTCGTCTCAACGTCTGCGACACTGCTAAATCCAGAGACACATCCGCCGACTACGCAGTTCACTTTTCGACCCCAATTACCAGCCGCACCACAACCCTCCTACGACGACGGACGATCCTGTGCGACCTCCCACCCTACGACCCCAGTTAGATGACATCGGCGAAGAGGAGGAAGTTAACTTTGATGGTTATGTAACGCGAGCAGGGCGTACAGTTCACCGACCAGCTAAGTTCCTTGATCAATTATTTTTCCTTTCATCCCCTGGGAGGGGGAGTTCTGTAGCGAGTAGATTATCCCAATAATATACTCGCTCCAAATGCTTTGTTAATATTCCTGTCAACCTTTGGAGATGAATGAGGTGAGGCGTTGCCCGGGCATATAAGCAGCAATAGCAAACATTAACCAGAGTCAACTTTCAAGTGTGGTCTAGAGCAGACACTTGCGAGATACTGTACCAACGCTCAGTGCGCTCAACTCACACCAACGTATCGCCTGTGTACTTCTGTATATTCGACCAAATATATATATAGTATCTTAGTGTCTGTGTTTATTTGTCACCATACTTTACGTAACAATAGAACCGTTACAAGACGATAGCAAGTTACACTGATGATAATTATAACTAGCATGAAGGATATCGCACCAGGGACAGGCACAGAGATCTAATGGTCCGGGAGAGAGCTCACATTATGGGGGGTGAGTGTTGACTTTCCCAGCGAGCATACAGAGCCACGTGCTGAAACAAGCAAGGAAGGCAGCCAAGACACCTACGGTCTTAGGGGTCCGTCTCAACAGCAGCGGTTGCAAAACATTCCATGAAGCGCACGTTCACTCCGATCTTGACTATACATCACTTTCCTAAACAGCCTCTGACCTCTTTCCTCTGTTTGCGGGGGGGGGGGGGGACTTGGGGGGTCTTGGCGGTGGGGCTTGGGGGGTCTAGGGAGGGGGGCTTGGGGGGGGGGGGGGTCTTGGGGGGTCTTGGGGGAAGGGGGGGTCTGGACCTAACGTGGTCATAAACATTATTAATTTGTATATAAATGTACGCAATTATTCCATTGACCTCACAAAACATCTCTTTAATATTCATGGATGCACGTTCACAATCATGCTTTCGGCACTATATACGTTCACAGCCTCACCATCACTACACATTCACAGTCCGACCTACATCTGCCCACGTTCACTATCTCATCTTCAGCACAACACGTTCACAACCTGACCGTCATGAAGACACGTTCACAACCCCAACAAGGTGGCAGGTGGAGCGTGTGGTGGTGGGGCTCAAGGTGGAGGCGGCCCGGTGTGTGGTCAAGGCTGCTGGTCGGTGGTCTGGTCAACCAGGCTGTAACACCCCGCACCTTGCCCTCTCTCCCTCGCCAAACCTCTCCTATATATTACTAGCGCGATACATAAATAAACTGGCTATTACTGTAGTCTTCCCCCGCCGTGCCTGCCAAACAGGTCTTGTCAGCAAGGACAAAACAAATACATATATTAGTGTGGTTTGTCGGGGGAGGTTGGCGCCGCCAGTACTAGTGGCGGCGGCACGACCTGTTTTTATATATTTTGGGTCCCGGGGACATTTTGTTTGTCCAGTTGTCCAGGTGACGCCTGCCGGAGTTGACAGGGGGAGACAGGGACACGGGGGTCACGCAGGGGTCACGCGGGGGGTCAGGTACTGCGAGGTGTGCCCCTGGCGACAGCGGCGCCAGCAGCAGGAGGCAGACGCCGGCAACTCCTCCCCCGGGTCGCCATGCGCGGAGAATTGCCGCAACTCTCCTATTGTTCCTTTTTTGTGTAGTGCCGGCGACTGCGTGCGTGTGTGTGCGTGTCTGTGCCGCTCACGACCCGCTGCCCGTCGCTCGCTCCTAACCCCACACTGCAGGGCAAAACAATATACATTTTTATATATATTTATTTATATATATTACTGGGAAATTGAAGGTTTGGGAGCGCGCCACTGGAGGAGGAGTTGCGGGTCGGTCAGTCGACTTTGAGAGGCAGTGGAGTGCGCACGTCGTCGCGGGTCGCTCCTCCACACGCGTAGTGTCAGTCGCACGCTTGAGGTGATACACGCCGACGGCTCCCACGGTTATGGCGACCTGGTCATCATTCCTGCTATGAACCTGCTGTCCTTAGACAGAACAACACACAGAACTGCGTTG